GGTGCCGGCTCGGCGAGCGCCAGCGGCCTCCCGAGTGGTGCCAATCTTCGAACTCGTAGTCAACCCGGCCGGAGCAGGTGAAGCATCTCCATCCTCCTCGAACACCTGGTTTTCTCCAGCGATCCTGACTCGTCGACCAAGGCCCCGGTTCTGCTGCTTTTGACGGACCTTTTCCAGCCTGTCCCTGAGGATGCCAGGCGCGGTACGGCCCGAAACTGCCTTTTGGCCCTCTCCTGGGGCCTTCCGCTTTGAAGCCCGAGCGCCTGGTGGTTTTCCTCCTTTGCCTTTTGTCAGGGGATCCTTCACTCCCCTCTCCTTTCCTGGGCCCTCTAGCTCGACAACCTCGCCTAAGTCCTCGGCTTGGAGCGCGTCCTCGATCTCGTCTCCAGTGCCTCCTGGAGCTAATACCTGCTTGAGCAGCTTTCGACCTGCAACTGTGAGTCGACCTGAGGGGAACTCGGATCCATTCCATAGCTCCAGTCGACGCACATGGAAAACTCCCTCTTCTATCGCGCACGGTCCCTCGTTCAAACAAATGTGAAGAGCACCAGCGCGCCTGTTGAAAAGACTGCTGAGCGTTGGGACAACATCGTCTCGACTGGCCCCAATCGCACGTACCTGTACCAACATACTGGCATCTGATGCAAGGGTTGAGCCCAGCGCCAAGAAAAAGCCTTCCACCTCGTCCTGACCAATCACCTCGTAGGGCACGGCAGTTACCAGCACATTGCCCGGCTGAGGTGCGAACATATTCCACCTTGAAAAATCCCGGACATCGTAGACCCCGAAAACGTCGTCTCCGTGACCAGGAACTCCAGGTTCGTCGCCTGCCCTCATTGCTTCCTTCCCCGGGGGGGTACCCCAGGAATCGCGTCCTCCCTTGGGGCTGTTGAGTCAAACTCAAAATACGAGTTGTCCAAACTTCGATGGATCGTGAGGAATGGGTTCTCGTCTGCTCGATATAGCCGCTTGTGCTTCCTACCTGCCCTGTGAGTCTTGTCTCTCTTTCTCTTCTTCTTCTTGAAGCCGTCTCCTCGACGATCGCGTCCTCGATGGCGAACTGAATGCTCACCTTTGGGGTGTCTATGACCCCTCGAAGAAGTTGCTGCCTCCTCACCGGCGGGCACGGGCACGGACCCAGCCTCACCAGCAGTATTCTCAACCTTCTCCTGCTTGACCTCCTCAGCCGGCTCTGCAGCGTGACGAGCAGCGGGCGCCGCCTTCGCGGACAGTCCCTTTGTGCTCACAGGCCTGGTTGGGTCCTGTATTATAGTGGCCTCCGAGGCCTCACCAGAGTCGTCCTCGTCAGACTCGTAGGAGCTCTCCTCGTCCTTGTCGGCCTTTTCTTCTGTAGCCGGTGGGATCTCAGGCCGGGGAGATCGCACCAGCGGAGCTCGAGGATCCTTCGGCTCGGACCCAACGCCAGCCGTAGGAGGGGGGCGCTCCGGGGTGAGTGGCCGGGTCTGGCCTCGTGCAGCCTGCGCCACGGGCGGAGTGACCCGAGTGACGCGTAAGGCGCGCACCTGGCGGACCGCGCTCACCACTATGTCAGTGGCGACCGCACGGAGTCCGGGATGGCTCCAGGAGAACGAGAGTTCCGACCCGAGAGCCTCCCACCCGGAGCACCCCAAGCACCAAGCGTCGCCAGCCGCTGGCGCGGCGCGGCGACACTTCGCGCAGAGTGCCATGCGCCGCGTAGAGACCCTACACGAGCCCGTGGCCGCAGGAGTTTCGTGCAAACATTCTCACCTACGGCAGAAGTCATATATATATAGGGGTCGTCCACGACCGGTGGCACTTTTGTTGCATCACACAAGGCGAACAATCCAGAGTGGTTAGCTATCTGATGACGGAAAGCGCTGTAGCGCTTGGAAGTATTACCGAAAGGGAGGGGGGGTGGGGGGGGCCAAGCTGATGAAGGAAAGCGATGAACATCGTTTTGAGTTGCTCCCCGGTAGGTTTTGCCGCGGGGGGAGGGGTTTAGGGGGGGAGTGAAAATCTCGAGATCGTGATTTGCATACTTTTTGGTGGCTTGAGGCAGTATGTTGAAGTTAACGAAACACTGTAAAATACAGCCAAAAAAAAATGCATCATTAATGCAATGTGTTTTGTCAAAACACGTCAGCACTTTTCACAAGGGCATCGGATACACAATGATAGACAAAATGCTAAAAAAAATCAGGGGCATTCCGCAGCACCACTTGCATCACTGAGAGGTGCATGGGAGGCACAAAAAGCACAGAAGAGATGGAAACAAAGCAAATCAACTTAAGATGTGAATTTTTTGACACCAAGGCCCACAAGAAGACACAAAGAGCACAATGGACACAAGCAAGGCAAACCCTTTTGAACAGAATGGAAAGCACCTGGGAAAATTGACACGGCAAACCAAAAAGTATGAAACCACGCTTTTGGGCAGACAACGCACTGGATCAGGGCTAACCTACTTGAGAGGCGGAAACAAGGCAAGCCAACTTAAAAGGCATGGAAAGCACATAGGAAAACCAACCAGGAAACCCAAAAATACGAAGCCAACAACACGAAAATTACATTGGGGCCTAGAGCAAGTGCTTTAGCAACAAGGCTCACAAAGACAAAGAACCAAGGGTAACCCATTTAAAAAGGATCGAAAGCACCTAAGGCACAAAGAGCACAGAAGAGACGGAAACAAAGCAAATCAACTTAAGATGTGAATTTTCTGACATCAAGGCCCACAAGAAGACACAAAGAGCACAGAATGGACACAAGCAAGGCAAACCCTTTTGAAAAGAATGGAAAGCACCTGGGAAAATTGACACGGCAACAAAAGTATGAA